GTGAGGGTCTCAGCACCTTCCTTTAGGGTCACTTGGCTCCCTGGGCTGGTCCATTGCAGTCCCCAAACTTGAACCCTGATATGCTGATGGAAGGGGAGGTGGACCAAGGGTTGGAATGAGGGAAGCAAGGCTTTCTTTTAGGCTAAGGAACTCCCATGCTTCCCAAAGGCACTGCAAGAGAGGACTCCAGATCAGGATACCCATATATTCAGAGTTTCCCTTGCACCTTAAATGGCTGGATTTTCACTAATATGAACCAGCAGCCGGGATGAGAATGGACAGAGCAATGATGCATTAAGGGAGAGAGGTGAAAACCAGGCTGGTTGTCATTGTCTGTTATATGCATGTTAAATGAGTTAATTCATAGAAAGCCTGTCACCCAGTTCAATCTGGGCAAGTAGTTATTATTATTACTATTATTTATCATTATCTTTTTCCTTCTTCAGGCCAAACCTGTCAAAACCTTTGGCCCTAAAGCACCTATATTATTCAATTTATTCAGCAAACATTTATTGGGAGCCTTCTATATGCCAAGGGCTGGGTTAGTTGCTAGGGATACAAAGATAAACAAAACAAGAACACATCCCTGTCCAGCTCACAGTGGAATTGGGAGAGTGATAGGTACAGAGACAATTGTCATTGGGTGAGATCCATTACCTGAGCACCAGAGAAGGAACAAATATCCCAGGAGACTAAACAGGAGTTCCCCAAGCAGAGAGATACTTGCACACCTGGCTAAGGAACTTAGACATTGTTCCTTTGGCTTCCAGAGCTACTGAAGGGTCCGAAGGGAGGAGTGGCCCTTAGATGTGCCCCTTAGATATGAGTCCTCTGTTAGCCTTTACCTGTCTGTGTTGAGCTGTGACCCCTTCTCCTAACAGTGAGAAGGACCAAGAAAATAAAAACAAATGGGGCTGTTGAAATAAAAGAGGTGGGAGGGAGAGCAGAGTCAGGGAAGAGAGTAAAGGAAAAACAACTGACTGAGAGGGATGCCCACCTAATCTAAAGTTCCCCTGGATTTCCAGCCTCTGCGTGGAGGGATAAAATATGAGGAACATTGAAGATTTAAGAAAATGTTTTTAGCCCTAATATTATGGTTTGGGAACTCTTGTACATGGCTCTAAGGTGGTAGATAGACAGACAGTTAGTTGGGAGTTGTCAGGGTAAATGTAGAGAAAAAGGAAAGTGAAACGTATTTTGAGTGCCCACTCTGACTGTGCCAGGCACTTTCACATAGAGTTCTGCCATTTAAATCATAACCACACTTTGAGGTCAATATTATTATTCCTGATAAAAAAAATAGTGGATCAAACAGTATGACAGTTTTAGACTCTTATTGCAATTGGCCAAATTCTTTCCCAAAAGTTGACTCATATGTCATCAGTGTGAAAAATTGCACACATTTCATCTTCTCTTCCCCAGCACTTGGTGTTATGATTGGTGCCACTGAGGAGTTTTGGTGTGGGGATGACATGATCAGATTTGCATTTATAAAACCACATCCTGGAGGCTGAACCAAGTGGGCAAGATTAGAACTGCTATTGTTGTCCTTGCTGTTCCTCCTCTGCTTCCACATTCTCCTTTTTCCATTTTGCCATAAATGAGAAATAAATAAGAGCAGTGCTAAAAGGCTGAGTTCTGTGGCTGCAACAAGCTTGTGCCTGGCCAAGAGACCATCCTTCCTCCAGCTCTGGCCAAAAAGTCTCTGAACAGTAATTCTCCTTAGGGAAAAATATTTTTTATGTGTTCCAATGAAATTGCCAAGTGGGTTTATTACTAAATTAATTTTTTCCTCCATCCTGTGACTCTTCAACTCAACACAAGATCATCCTGTGCCCAGAATGTTCTCCCTCCTTCCTCTTCTCAATCCAGCAAATTTCCTTGGCATTCATCCTTCAATACCTCCCTTAAATATCTGTGACATCTTCTGTACCTTGTCCAGCCAGAATCAGTCACTCGGGCTTCCTTGATCTTGTAGTTCAATTACAGCATTTTCTACACTCATCTCTGTTTCTCCTTCTTGGCCAAGAGTCCTTCAAGAAGAGAACATTCTGTATTCCCAGTTCTTAACCCAGTATCTGGCACTTTGTTGTAACTCAGTAGCTCTTAAAGAATGAGTGAGTGAATGAATTCCTGTTTTACAAAAGTGCATAGACATTTCATCTTAAATACTAAGGAGTTCAAGAATGTAAAGACAATATGGAGATTATATGAATTACCAAATCCCACTCTGAATTTGGTGCCTGAGGTAAAACAGATACCTGGTATACCAGATGTCCCAATCCTGAATTCTGTTTTCCATATACTAATTGTTTTATGTGCCTAGATGCTGATTTACAGTCTGTCCCCTTTCTTTCATTTTTAACTCCAAATTTAATTTGTGTCTCACTGTTTCCATGATAGAAGAAAAAGGGGATCAACTGATGCCAGAATTTCCCAAAGTGTGTTCCAAAGAGTACCATGGGCTGTTTGTGTCACACAAAAGTCTTGTGGTCTGATAAATTTAGGAAACAAAGTTAAACAGATTTCTTGACCTCAGAACTTCTCAGTAGACATTCTAGAAAGTCAAAAGAAAAATTACTGAGGCAATTGTGGAGAAGCAGAAGAGCAATGAAGTCTCGCTTCAGTAGGAGTCAGGAGTCATCCTAGCCTCTTGAAGCCACGGAAGATTCAGAGCACAAATTGAAGGGCACAATGGCAAAAAGCACACCAAGATTTTAGCCCCTTTCCCTACATTTATTTCCTCAGTCCCACATCTGTGTAAGCCCCAACTCACCCACCCACCCACCCGCCCGCCCATACTGATGAGATCAGCCTTCATTACGTCTCTTCCAGAGCCAGGAAGCAAGGTAATGTGTGGGAAGTGAAAGCTGCAAGGTAATGTGTGGGAAGTGATAACAACTTTAGAGTTAAAGCCATTCAACAGGAAAATTTGTTAAAAGACCAAGACATTGTAAAGCTGAAACACTTGAGTCTATTAAGTCCCCTACTTCTTAGAACATTTTGTCACCAGAGAATGTTTCAAGTAGGGAAAACATTGAATTATCACAGCACTATCAGCTACCAAAGCCTGGTACAAAGAGCAGCATTTTACAAGACATCTGTCTCCGCCACTAGAGAAATTTCTAAAAAGTTCTGCTCCTCTTTTGTCCTCCTCTCTCCTACCTCAGCAGAGCTCCCCCACCCTCTTCACCCCTAGACACACTGTAATTTCTCTCCTTCCTCCTCTTCCTCTGTCTTTCTCTTCTCCTCCTCCCACCCCATCTCCTTTTCCTCCTTTCTTTCTCTCTCTCTCTCTTCCCCATTCATAGCCCATGTTGTTTTCACAGACTCTATTAAAATGACACAGTAAGCTAAGAGTATCCAATCGTTCTTCAACCCTCTTTGGTAAGAAGGGAACTAATTAAGTGACTAGAGGTTTAGACATTTGCTGTTTATTAGGTCCAAATTCCTTCAGAGAGCCTGGAGCGTTCTCCTAAACAAACATTATCTTTTCTGGGGTTCTTTTTTATTCCAAGTCCAAATGAAATGGAGAGTTTAAGGAGATAATATCTTTTCACAGACGTGAAGAAAAGAGTACGGGAGAAGGACAATGGGAGCTTCCATGTAGACGGGAAACACTATGTGCCTGACACAGAAAAGTCTAAGGCAGTTTGTGTATCTGTTGGCAGCTGACGTTCGCCAGTGACCAGTAATTTTGACTCTAGCAATGTTGACACAACACTATGTGCCTGACACAGAAAAGTCTAAGGCAGTTTGTGTATCTGTTGGCAGCTGACGTTTGCCAGTGACCAGTAATTTTGACTCTAGCAATGTTGACACATTTGCGGTCAGCCCAATGGTTTTCTTTAACTGTCCTCATTAGAAAAACATCCATCAAGAGAATTTTTTTAAATAATAGTTGGTCTTCTAAACAAAAAAGTAAAGACAAACCCAAATATCTCCTTGCCAATCTCAACAAACACTGTTACAATATACCAGGAGGCACTTTAGAAGACAGAAGCCATCTGTTAAATAAGCAAAAGAATTAACATAGACAGAATTTTCTAGTTTGTGGCTATTAGGATGTTAGTGATATAGCCACGACCTATGAGAAAGGTACTTTTGCCTTGGCAGGCAAAGGAATGGAAGCTTTTTTAAAATCTGCCTTTTTATTTTAATTCTGTTTTGAATAAATAAAAGTTGTGTTGTAAAGTGAGTCTTGAGCCCAACATCAAACATTAATCCTGCCATTACTTTCACAAGAACTTGGGAAAGCACAATCCAAGCTTTACGAACTCTGAGAAAAAGGGCTTCTTCCATGTTCTGAACTGGAAGCAACTGCCACCATGGGGGGCCATCAATCCTGTGTGATTCTGAGCCTGAGACTCATATTTTCTGCCCCTCCTTTTCTACTGTGGGCCCACAATAATCTGGTGCAGGTTAAATATTCTTTTCCTTGGCTTAGATTAGGCACCTGGTGTCCTGAAAGAGGTCACGGATATTCTCGAGGATGTCCAGGGAGGTTGGCTCACCAGTGGCTTACCACAGCCAACTTTGAGGTTAATTAACCATCAGTCATCATCAGTGGGGCCAAGATGTTATTCAGACATTCAGAGAAGAGAGGCTTGATCCAGCTATGGATAATGGCCTTCATCAACATTCCTTCCTAGCCTAGTACCAAATCAATGTGTCTTTAGCTGCACTAGGGGGCTGAAAATTATTTCAGAAATAGCTGGTTCATCATTTAAGTTACTTTACATTCGAAGGGACTTCTTAGCACGTCAGCTTATTAACTGAATGAATATTAATGTTCTGTATCAAAATCTTGTTTCACTACAACTGGGCTTCTCTTCATGAAAAGGTATATTCACTGACCCTTGGGGAAAGTTTGGTGGGAAATGAAAAGATGCTGATGGATTTGGGTCAGCCATCTCAGGACCAGTCCTGGCCAGAGCCAGCCCAAGGAACAGAGAGATGCATGTACATTGATTGCTTTTGCTGTCTCACTCTGCAGACCTTGGTGACCAGCTCCTTGAAGTGGTGGGGCTGGAGGGAGCCATGGAGATGGGGCAGATCTACACTGGCCTGAAGAGTGCAGGCAGGAGGCTGGCCCAGTGCTCCTCTGTCACCATCAGGTATGTGTCCTCATTACCCAGCAGCCTCTGAGACTCCCCCCCTCCCTAAACCTTCTTGCAGAGGACAGATAGGAAGCCATCTTTGGATGTCAGGGCTGAGAAAGTGGGACACAGAAGATTGTTAACATTTGTAAAGAACATCTTTGTAGACCCTTTTCCAAACAGGATATAATGCAACTGTCCAGGACATCAACTAGAGGATCTACCACAACCAGTTTGCTGTTCTCTTAAAATGACCTGGTGAAATTCTCTAAACAGGAGTATAAGATTATGAGATCCAGAGAACCAGAGGTCCAACTCCTTGCCTTTTTTAATATCTTCAAATTAACATGTTAGAGATATGCCAGGGGACACACTCTGATTAAAAACCAGGTTTCTGCTTGCTCTGCTTTTTCTTGGATAGTGGCCTTGGAGATGCTATCTCCTATAAGCCTTTTTACACTAACCCATCAACATCAGCAGACCTGTCGTAATTGACTAAGAGGATGACAACTCTTCTGGGTATGGACCACACAGGTCAGCCACTGCAGGCTCCTGGAAGAGATGGGATCTAATAGAGGTCTGATTTCAGTTGCCTCTGTTTTGTCTCAGATTCTTCCTCCACCTGATCATTTCAGAAGTCTTTATTCCTTTTCTTTTACCATTTGATTGCTACGGATCAAATCTATTAGTACACCTTGGGGATCTCCTAGAGGGAACCACAACATGCAGGGCTTCCCAAAGATATTCAACCACAGATCCCTTTCTCCCAGAGCCTCTTGGGCAAGTGTCGTCAGAGTACATTGGAGGAAACTCCGTTCTTGGCACGAAACTGCATCCCTCAGAAAGGTCCCCACAGCTGGCTCCCTGATGTCTCTTAGCTGAAGGTCTATTCCACTAACCCCTTTCTTCATTCCCTCTCTTTGTCTTCTCTATCTTTTCTATTCTCCAAAGCTTTGCTCCCCTTTCTTTCTGAGCTGTTGTTATGCTAGGGCCCCTGTTTTCCAGATTAATCTCTCTAGTCCTGTCCCGTCTCTGGGACTCTAATACTGAATAGGTCCATTCTGTTAACTCATCTAAGCCATAACTTATGTAGACCACAGAGAACATAACATCCTGATCCCTGAGAAATAAAAAAAAGCCATGCATAATGGGGAGGACTTTTTCTTCATTTTCAGTAGATCTATTTCCAGGTAGAACAGAGCGGGTGAGCCAGGAGTCCTATCCCCCTGGGCATTTTCCAAATACTCTTCTCAGCCCCAGGAACCAAAATGCCACTCTTTCCTCTTATTATTTGTTTTTTACTATTAGATTTATTGTTTTTATTATTAAATATCCTCAGGGTTAGTCAGAGAATCATCACATCAAAACACAGCTTTCCTCTCTCATTTCGTAATTTCAAAAAAAAGGACAGATGCCAAGCTCAGGTGGGGCTTCTCAGCCAGTCAGTGGTAATTATTCCCCATTCGCCCAGACCAGAGACCTCCAAAAGGGCCTGTTCTTTCCTTCTAAAGCAAATGTAGCATGAATTCAAAACTCTTCTACAGAAGAAGTCAGAAGACCTCATATCTCTCCTTTTGCGAATCCATATGCCAGAAAAGCCATGTCCCAAGCAAGAGAGCAACGCTTTCTCCTCTCCTCCTGCCCCAGACAATATGCCTAGATGACCCCCTCTCCCAGCTAAGCCTAGTCCACAGTCCATGCAATCCAGAGTGTGCTGTTGTTCACAAGATGAAAGAGGAGATGGTTAGGACTGAGTGCAAGACAAGACACACTCAGACCTGAGCTATACCTTGTATGAGTTGGAGACGTTACCTCATGACATGATGTAACCTCTCACTCAGCATAAAGACCAGGCCCTTTCCCATTTCAGAGTAAAGTTCTTGGCATGAACTGCAGGCCCTCTGGCTGGTTGACTGAGGAGGGTCTGCCCAGCAGTGGTGCTGCCATGCTCGTTGGACACTGTTTCCCAGACTTCTGTGTATTTCACTGCTCACCCATGGCAGTGTTTCTCAAAGTGGGGTCTAAGGACCAAGGCAACAGAATCACCCATAGTGATTATTAAAACACAGAGCCCTGGGCCCAGCCCCAGACCTGCCAAATCAGTATCCCTGAGGTGGGTTCAGAAATCTATTTTTAACAGGTTCCCCAGGTAGATAAGGTCTTCCCACTCCTTTTTCCCTGAGGGGAAACAACCCTGATTCTCCAGTTCCAAGAAGCTCACTATTCTCTCGGTTTTCGGGGTTCCAGGACTAACAAGCTGCTACCAATGCAAGTGGATGGAGAGCCCTGGAGGCAGCCCCGTTGCACGGTGAGTATGCCCATCTTCGCGGTGGGGTGAGAAGCCTGACTTAATAGGAAATCTCTGAATCTCAGAGTTGCAGGGACCTTGGAAGACCATCTAGTGCAGCCCCTCTTCCTACATTCATCTATCCACTCACTTACCTGCCAAACTTTTGTTAAATGCCTGCCATGTGCCAGACACTGTGAGGCACCAGTTACAATGAGACCTAGACCCATCTTCAAGGAGCTCACAGTTCTAGATGGTACATTCTGAGACTTCATCCACAGTACCCCTGACAGCTTCAGCATGCATCATTCCAGTGGCAGGGAACTTACCACCTCAGAAAGAAAACTGCTCTGCTGATGAACAAGTCTAATGGTTGGAAAGTGCTTCCTTACATGGAGGCCAAATCTGCACACTTAGCTAGAACTTTCAGCCAGTTGCCCTGTCCACTGGGGCTCCTGGGAGAGAATTCTCAAAGTGCATAGACACACTTTCCCACAGGTGCTCCACAGCCCTGAGAACTCCACTGAAAGGGTCACCACATGGGCTATCTGCTTTGTGTATGGCATTCTCACCCAGCACCTAGCACAGTGCCTGGTTTGTAACAGTTACACAGTAAAATGTGTTGAATGATGAATAAAAGACTGAACAAATGAACAAACAAAATAGAAGGAGCATCCCCAGTCCCTGACTTAACATATCTATGTTAGCTCTCCATTTAATCACCACAATGGGAGCCATGCATCCTTCTCTCTTAGGTTGTTTTTGGTTAGAAACCCAGCTAGAAATTCCATGGTGCAAAGAAACCATTGTCCTGGCTTTCAGGGCCTCTAGCGGGCTATTATATGAGTAATACCATCAATATGATTGCAAATATGTGAATCTCAAAAGACAAAAGTTGAGTTTCTAAGCTTCCTCATTCTAGTGGAGTATTCAGATACCTGCTATTTTGACCCCTTCATAACATCAAGTTGTTTTCTACTAGAGAGAGGGTTTTCACAAGCCTGCTGAGAAGAGATGGTGTCCTCTGTAAGGTTATCAAAGATAGAAATTTCTCTGCAAGATCTGACAACAATCTTATGAAGACTAAGAAAAAGATGAAAACACACTACAGCAAAAACTAATAATGGCTTTCCACCTTGCTGGAATTAGGAATGATGGAGAGAATTCCTACTGCTTATCATTTTTAAGGAGCTAAGCTGAGAAAATCTATCCATGTGCCTCCTATCTATTAAAAAAAAAAAAGGCTGGAAGAAATCAAACCCTCTTTCACCTGATTCAGTGATATCTGCAAAGTGGGTTGCCATTCCTCTAAATCCAAGCACTGGTTTTTGAAATAGCCACATAGTTTCCTCTCCTCCCACTCTCGCCCTCCCCTCCCTGGCACCCTTCAGAGATTACAACTCACTATGAAAAAATGTGTGACCCAATAATTTTATGATATGAAGTCCAGAAATCTATATGTAAAGATATATTAGTCTTCTTGGGCTGCCATAACAGAATACCACAAACTGGTAGCTCAAACAACAGAAATCTATTTTCTCACAGTTCCGGAGGCTGGAAGCCCAAGATCAAGGTACCAACAGGGTTGGTTTCTAGTGAGGCCTCTCTTCCTGACTTGCAGATGGCCACCTTCTCACTGTATCCTCACATGGCCTTTCTTCTGTGTGTGTTCACTCCTGTTATCTCTTCCTCTTCTTATAAGGACACCAGTCCTCAAGGATTAGGCCCCACCATTGTGACCTCATTTAACCTTAATTACCTCCTTAAAGGCCTTTTATACAAATACAGTCACATTGGTGTTAAGGCTTCAACATATGAATTGGGGGGACACAATTCAGCTCATGACAGAACTAAACTTGCAAGGTTTAAAACAAATGTCCCCCTTGAAATATTTTCTTGAAGATGCACACCAAGAAACAATTCAAAGTTAAAGACAAGAATGGGATATCACGGCACAAAAGAACTTTCAGCAAAAAATAAAACCAATTAAATTAGAATGAAATTTTTGAAAAAAGAAACCCACTAAATATGGTTATGCAACAGAATGCAAAGGGCCAATATCATTCTTTGGAAGAGAAGATATAGAACGTAAACATTAGTAACCTGGATCTCAAACCTAAGGTTATATTAACAAAGGCTGAAAGCATGTGGGAGACACTTCTGAAGGATTGGTAAAAATATGCTAATTTTCTCATTGTCTCTATTTTGATGATTAAAAAATATAAATCAGAAGAAAACAGTAATAGCTAGATAATTGCTAGCGAAAGTGAAAACAGGGATCACACCTTTCAAATCCAGGAGAATTGAAAATATACAAGCCCTATCAACGTAGTATGAGAGAGAAAGCAAATAACAAGCCAACATTTAAAATTTTTTTGAAGTAAGATGAAAGAAGTTAAGAACAAATATATCAATACTGATTTAAAAACAGATGGGTTAGAGTCCCCTATTAAAAGACCAATACTCTTATATTGGGTTAAAAATTAAAATCCAAATATATGCTTCTTACAGAAGATACACCTAAAACAAAAAGATACATACATATCTATGTTTGCGTGTGTGTATCTTTTTATTTTATTTTTTATCAAGCATAGAGAAATGAAAAGTAAGAAATGGTAACATTAATTATATTAATTTTAGACAAACTAAGCTTCCAACATGTCAAAAGCTTAAAGCAGGATAAGGAAGGTCATTTTTTATTTGATGAAAGTACACTTAATTATGAGATGTAGTGGTCATAAAATTTTAGACATTTAATAACCAAATCAAAAATAGTAGAAAACTGAAAAAACAATATTAATATATATTCTGAGAAAAAACAGATACATAAGAAGTTGACAGAATGACAGTTGTTGAGAGACTTTAAAATATTTGTTTCACCTTTGAAGTCATGTAGCAGAAAATAAATGCACTAAAGCTTAGAAGAAATAACTCAACCTATAAAAAATTAAATATCCTATTTTTTCAAGGATTCATAACTTACTAAAATAGATCATAAACTAGTTTCAAAAAAAAAACTCTATAAAACTCAAAAGGATAAAAGATAAAGGTCATTTTCTTTGACCAAAAAAACAATGAAAAGGGGGCTGGCTGGTTAGTTTAGTTGGTTAGAGTGCAGTGTTAATAACACCAAGGTCAGGGGTTCAGATCCCCATACTGGCCAACCACCAAAAAAAAAAAAAAAAACCACAATAAAACTAGAAATTACTAATGGAAGATTAAATGAATAAACAAACAAAATCCAGTCACTTGGAAACTTTAAAATCCTAAAGAACAGTACACTCAAAAGGTGATCAAAATCACCGTTATTGACTACTAAAAAAAATTTTTAAATAGAAAGCTCCAGTTCAAAACTTGTGAGATAGAGTCTAAACTGTACTTGGGAGTAAATTCAAAGTTTTATATACTACCATCATATAAAAAGGGAAAAAATGTAATGAATAATTCCAAGATTAGAAGAACAATACAAAACAGGAGAAGCAGAAGGAAGAAAATAATAAAGATAAAAGTAGAAATTAAATAATTAAAAAACAGGAAAACCTGGAACTAATTCTTCAAACATGTCAAATGTTTGAAAACTTAATTTTTTAAAGAGAAAAACAGAAATCAGATATTAGACTATTAAAAAACATATAATAAATATAATATAAAATATAAATATGAATGTGGCAAAGACTTTATTTAATTATAAGACAATATACATAATCATCTTGATTCTAATAAACTTGACCATCTTAAGAAAATGAATGAAAATCCTGGTAATCATTAATGAAATGGAAAATGCTTTCAAAGAATTACATATAAAATTATCTTAAAACAGATAGTCTTGCTGGTAAGTTCTTCCATACAATTAGGAAATAAATATTTAGGTAAACTGTTGCATAGTATAGACAAACATAGAAAGCCACCTAATCCATTTTATGAAATGAAGACAGATACTATAACCTAACCAAAATTACACATGAAAACAGAAAACTACTGACCAATCTTAAATATGCATATGTTATAAAAATTCTAGTTAAAGTATTAGTAGACAGAATTGATCAATATGTTAAAAGAACCATTCATCCCTCAGAGCATATCAAAGGAATAAAAGGAAGTCTTCTAATATCAGTTTAGGTAGAAAAATTATGCAATAATATAATAGATGACCCAAAAGTATTTAATTACATTCAATATTTCTGATTTTTAAAGATAAAAACTAGAAAACTAAGACCAGAAAGTTACTCCTTTAAAATATTTTAAAATATCTATGTTAAACCTGTAATTAATATTTTACTTAATAGTAAAACACTAGAGGAATTCTCATTCAAATCATGGACAAGATATGTATACTGACATTGTTTGGAAGTTCTAGCCAATGCAATATACATGAAGCAGAAAAGAAACATAATAATTTGGAAAAGAGTAAAAACTGTCGTTATTTTCAGATGATATGATTATGTATATAAAAAGCTAATAGAATCAACTGAACCCTCATTGGATAAATTATTTCAGTAAAGCCCTATAAAAAGATAGACAAAAATTAATAGCTTTCTTATTTACCAGCAATAACCAATCCAAAGAATATAATAGAAAAAACTTAAAATATCATAATAGCAGCAACAAAAGACATAAAATAGTGAAATGAATTATGGAAAATGGATGAAGATGAGTATAAGACTTAAAAATATATAAAAAAAGATCTGAACACAAAAATACCCCATGTTCCTAAATAAGGATCCCCAAATCCCAATGTGCTTGCTTTGTTAACTTGACAAAATAAAATAATTCTAGGGCATTTTATAAAACAACTACAAGAAAGGACTTCTCACAAGATATTAAAATAATTATAAAGCCACAATAATTTCAATAATATGTTATTGGCACAATATTGGATAGATAAATCAATAGTACAGAAGAGAGCCCTAAGAAACCCTAGTATAGGGCCGGCCCGGTGGCGCACTGCTACAGTGCGCCGCTTGGGAGCATGGCGGTGCTGCCGCCGAGGGTTCGGATCCCACATACAGACCGGTTCCCGC